CCCTTGAACCATGCAAGTTCTGTATAAAAACTTTTGTCTACCCCCACAAGTTAGGCAGTAAAGGACTGTCCTGAGTTTCAGTGTACACTCTGTACTCCTACTCTCCCTACCATATTTTCTTTGATTATCTCATAAAAACCTTTATACTTTTTCATCCCACTTCTCCTCTTCCTATTTTCTCTTTCTACTAATTGGGCATATCTGCCTCAAGCATTATACGGCCAATTTCTTCCGCATGTCGAAACGAACGTTTCCTGCTTGCAAATTAACTCGGCTCCTTGGCACTTGCACTTTCCTCGGCATGCCACTGTGCGCGTCTTCACTTTCTCCGACTGCACAATGAAAACATTCCGCCATCCTAATTCGCATCCCGTCCACGCGCATGCGAATCGCCGCTTCCTATTGCAACTCCGATTAATTCATCTAAAAATCTAAACCGATCTTGCGTGCTCGCCGCGATAACAGCGAATCCGTTACGCACCCGGCGGGTATGTCTCGTCACGCGAGTCCTCTTTCCGGTCCTCAGCATCCTCGAACCAGTTCTCGATGTTTCTCGTGGCCAAAACGGAATTGGCTATTCTCGCCGGTCGAAATGGAGCCAAGAGGACAGGACGAAATCGAATACGCAGGAGACTGTAATTTTTCTCATTGTTACTGAATTACTCCAAGTCTAATTCGGTGATACTACGCAATTTTTAATAAAGAGTATGTAGTCGTAAATGAAAGACAATTCGTCGTGTGAAAGTGTTCTACTACTAACTCTTCAATGGCTGCTCGTGAAACAACGGCTGTTAGTCGAGCGTCTTAGATTAACGCAGACGGTCCACGTCGTTACAATTGCAGGCTGCGGGATTCCCGCCTCGAAGCAAACCGCGCAGAGGAGAATCGTCGGCGGGGACGACGCAGGCTTCGGCAGCTTCCCTTGGCAGGTCAGATTCTCTCAGACGAAACTGAGAAACGGAAACGCGTCGGGTTCGATGCAATTTCCGTCGTCTCGTATTGGGCGTTTTTAAACAGGGAAAATGTTCCGATTCTCTTTTCCAGGCGTATATACGGATCGGGTCCAGCAGATGCGGCGGCACTCTTGTTAATCGATTTCACGTAGTCACTGCAGGCCATTGCGTAGCCAAGTGAGTATAAACTAGAATGCCGATCGATATTCTTTTTTTAAACACTTTGTGACCTTGTTATCAATTTTAAGATTGTGTCAGGGTAGAAGAGAATTTTCTAATTTATAGATCTTCAAATTATGAGATCTAGTGTACATAACATAAATTTTTAGATTCTATAGAATTAAGAAAATACTGTAAAAATGCATTATTATTTTATTGCTCTTGAGAAAGTAAAATATTCGTTCGATCACAGGATTTATTGAACTCTTTTTACAGGGCTATATTCTTTGCCCACCTTATGACCTTATTATAAATTTTAATATTGTGTCAGAATAAAAAAAAATTTTTAATTTATAAATCTTCAAATTCTAAACGATTATAAAAATATTCTATTACTCTTGGAAAAGTAGGAATCTCAGGACTTATTGAATTAATAATATCTTTTTGCAGGGCGACTGCTCGCCAAGTCCAAGTCACGTTAGGAGACTACGTAGTGAACTCCGCCAGTGAATCACTGCCAGCGTATACTTTCGGCGTCCGAGAGATTCGCGTTCATCCCTACTTCAAATTCACACCCCAAGCCGACAGGTACAGCAAATTACTTGACAGGAGACTCTAAGTTATTTATGCAATTGTCATCCAATTTTTAGGTTTGACGTGGCTGTCCTCCGGTTGGATAGGCCGGTCCATTACATGCCTCACATAGCTCCAATCTGTCTGCCTGAGAAGAATGACGATTTCCTCGGACAGTACGGCTGGGCTGCTGGATGGGGCGCGTTGCAGGCCGGTAAATAATTGACAATTCATTTATGTTGCTTCATAACGAAACAATATTTACATTTAATCACGATACTAATTTTTATTAGAATTTTATTAAAAATATAATTATATATTTTATTAGAATTTTCATTAAAGACATAATTATATACGACTTATTGTTATAATAATAGTAAAGAGTCTGTTATGAATTGGTCTGTTAAAAATTCAATAGGATCAAGGCTGCGCCCGAAGACTCTCCAAGCGGTGGACGTGCCTGTGATAGACAATCGAGTCTGCGAGAGATGGCACCGATCGAACGGAATCAACGTCGTCATCTACGACGAAATGATGTGCGCCGGTTACCGCGGCGGTGGCAAGGACTCCTGTCAAGTGAGTACCTAATTAATAACACACGACCCAACAGTTCCTAAATAATCCATTATATCAGAAATTAGTAAATTTAGACATTACAATGCTGATTACTGAATTTTATACATTTATCAAAGAACAATTTACAGAAATATAGAAAATATTAAAAACAGTTATTTAAACATTCTTTCAATTGATACCATAAACATTTTATTTTGCACTAAAAACCGAATTTTTATTATTTTCATACTGAGTGACTATCAAAATTCTGGACAGTTCTTTATTTTCTAAATAGAGGATAGACAAAACTTCTTATGTGGGACGTATACGGTTTAATATTTTCATGAAAACGAATTTTTATGGTATTATTTGTCCCATAGATAAATAAAATTGGAAGTGAAACGGTTAAAAACTGAAATGATCTTCATTCATGAAGAGTAAATTAAATCGTGTTAAAAAAGTCTATTAAACGATTAAAAAAAATATATACAGCCATCCTTGGCCATCGTGTCTTATTAAATAATAAAATAATAACGTGGCCCCTTGAACCATGCAAGTTCTGTATAAAAACTTTTGTCTACCCCCACAAGTTAGGCAGTAAAGGACTGTCCTGAGTTTCAGTGTACACTCTGTACTCCTACTCTCCCTACCATATTTTCTTTGATTATCTCATAAAAACCTTTATACTTTTTCATCCCACTTCTCCTCTTCCTATTTTCTCTTTCTACTAATTGGGCATATCTGCCTCAAGCATTATACGGCCAATTTCTTCCGCATGTCGAAACGAACGTTTCCTGCTTGCAAATTAACTCGGCTCCTTGGCACTTGCACTTTCCTCGGCATGCCACTGTGCGCGTCTTCACTTTCTCCGACTGCACAATGAAAACATTCCGCCATCCTAATTCGCATCCCGTCCACGCGCATGCGAATCGCCGCTTCCTATTGCAACTCCGATTAATTCATCTAAAAATCTAAACCGATCTTGCGTGCTCGCCGCGATAACAGCGAATCCGTTACGCACCCGGCGGGTATGTCTCGTCACGCGAGTCCTCTTTCCGGTCCTCAGCATCCTCGAACCAGTTCTCGATGTTTCTCGTGGCCAAAACGGAATTGGCTATTCTCGCCGGTCGAAATGGAGCCAAGAGGACAGGACGAAATCGAATACGCAGGAGACTGTAATTTTTCTCATTGTTACTGAATTACTCCAAGTCTAATTCGGTGATACTACGCAATTTTTAATAAAGAGTATGTAGTCGTAAATGAAAGACAATTCGTCGTGTGAAAGTGTTCTACTACTAACTCTTCAATGGCTGCTCGTGAAACAACGGCTGTTAGTCGAGCGTCTTAGATTAACGCAGACGGTCCACGTCGTTACAATTGCAGGCTGCGGGATTCCCGCCTCGAAGCAAACCGCGCAGAGGAGAATCGTCGGCGGGGACGACGCAGGCTTCGGCAGCTTCCCTTGGCAGGTCAGATTCTCTCAGACGAAACTGAGAAACGGAAACGCGTCGGGTTCGATGCAATTTCCGTCGTCTCGTATTGGGCGTTTTTAAACAGGGAAAATGTTCCGATTCTCTTTTCCAGGCGTATATACGGATCGGGTCCAGCAGATGCGGCGGCACTCTTGTTAATCGATTTCACGTAGTCACTGCAGGCCATTGCGTAGCCAAGTGAGTATAAACTAGAATGCCGATCGATATTCTTTTTTTAAACACTTTGTGACCTTGTTATCAATTTTAAGATTGTGTCAGGGTAGAAGAGAATTTTCTAATTTATAGATCTTCAAATTATGAGATCTAGTGTACATAACATAAATTTTTAGATTCTATAGAAT